GGGGGAAGGGGGGGGGGAAGGGGGGGGGGGGGGGGGGGGGGGGGGGCGGGAAGAGAGAGTCGGGTGAGATGATGAGAGGGATAGGACGAAGAGTGTGCGAGCCGAGGAAATACCAACACCCAATACGGACACCACCGCACAAGGCATATGAGGGATGAAGATAACTTCGCTCGAAAAATCGAAGGGAGGACTAGGCCCTGCTACCGTGCATTCTGGCGGGAACTTGGTTCATCGGCCGTCGCCCTGCGGCTCATCACCAAAAAACGGAGCAGCCATCTGTTTCCAGCCGTGAACATGCAGACACAGCACTGCATACGAACGGCATTCGTGTTCACCGCCTGGCCACTGGGGCGTGCAATGCTTGTACCACGACGGGCACCAAGCGTCTCGAGGTATGCGTCAAAAACCCGCGTGACGAATTCGATACAGAAGCACCAACATCAACACCGGCATCTCCACGAACAACAACAACGCCGTCGCCGCAGCGGAACGACGATAACTAACGGTGAAGCGAGAGGGCAAGGGGAAAAAAAAAGAAAAACGGAATTGGCTGTTCCCTGTCTTGACAGCAGTGGGAATCCAAAGGCCTAGCCGCCTGTTAACTGTCTGTTAGCCTAACCTGCAGTCGCGACTTCAGCATGTCAAACGGAAGCGAGAAGGCCGCGGCGGTGAATCCGGCGACGGCGGCCGAGCTCAGCTTCACTGGCAAGCCCGGGCTCTTGGGGTCAGTCTCCCCGAAGACCTGCAACCGGCCACAAACAAATTCCGCCGAATTGTTCCAGATTTACACCCGGTGTGCGCGTGTGTCAGTGAGAAACGAGAGACGGACGGAGGGGGGGGGGGGGCACACGGAGGGCTGAGACACAACAAAAAGGGCAGGTAAGTTTTGGTTGAGTTGGATGCGGATTGTGTCTCAAGTGTAGCAGGGTGACCAAACGTGTTTGTTCGCAGCACCCCGTACGTTTGAGTTAGCCATTGGAGTGCAAGCATGGGCTCGACGCAAAGGCATCGATTTTTTATACAATGGAAAAAAAATGACTGATAAACGCCTGCGCAGCAGCAGTGTACGTAGATTCATCGCCGGGCTAACCCTGAAAACAGGTCTTTCCAATGAAAGCTCAAACACACCGAGACTAAATGAACAGCATAGAGTAGACGAAAACACTTCCATGCTTTTTCTCTCGACTACAGCGAGGTTCCGATGAGCCTGGTCACGAAGAGACCCTCTCGCCTTCCATACACACCTGCATCATAGTGGACTTGGCCTGGTCGTAGCAAGCCATCATCCCGACGTTCATCGACATCCCCCGCAAGATGTTAGGCGCCAACCCCTGTTTCGATAATCGCGTCGGAACGAGATGCACGGCGGTCGAATGTACACAAACAAGCGTTAAAAAATTGATAATTCCACAGACAACAAAAAAGAAGAAGCGAGAGACGTGGTGTGTGTCCAACACACGTGGTGTGTGTCCAACACACGTGGTGTGTGTCCAACACACCCACGTGTTGTCGACGCGAGCAAAGCGAGAACGACAGATCCCGAGCGGCAGAGCAAAACAAACTAAAATCGGTATAATGATGGGCCCCAACCGATTCAACAAAGCTTTGGGGTGGTATGGGGGAGGAGGGGTATAGCGAGCGGCATTCCTGGCGCATACGCTCGCTGTTGTCAGACAAAAACGCGAAATGGAACGACGCGCGAAGCCTTCGGGCGGTCGCCATGGACCGGTCCTGTTTGGGGCAAAGAGGGCACGAAAAGTCACGCCAACAAAAAACATTGCCGCAACATTTTTTACGCATCGAAGCGTTATGTTCTCATTTACGTGCTGCCCGCGGCTACACCGTCGTGATGACCAAGCGCCAAATTCACCAACTGAACATCGCGAGACTACCCGAACAGCTACGTACAAGAAGGGTATGAGAGCCCCTGGGTCTCATTGTAACTTCTTTGGCCGCCGGCCAATTGACGGCAGCGACATCCGTCCCTCAACGGATGCCAACTTTCCCACAAAAACGCAGAGTGACATCGAAACAAAAAAAAGAACAACAAACCACAACAAAACATCGTGCGCTCAAACGGCTCCACACCCGCAACACACCTGACCCCCCCCCCCCCCCTCCCGCCTTAATTTCATTCAACGTACCGCGTACAAAGACCCGACCCCCTCTTCCGCCGCGCAGCGCCTGAGCGCGTCGATCACGTGCTTGTAATTGCGTCGCTCCTCCTTCGGGTTCATCGAGTCCGAATGGATGGGAACGAGGGCCACGTCCATGGGGGGGCCGATGGGCACGGGGATGGCCCCGGAGCTCATGCCGCTCAGGGGCTTCATCCAGAAAGGGATCTCGGAGCCCTTGTTTCTCTGCCGAATAAGTAAAAAAAAACGAGACGAGACGAAGCAGAGTAAATGTTAAAAAATAATAGGATCGTCCTTGACAGACTTCTTGGGGGTGGTTGTACCCGTTACCAAGGGCATCACCACAAAAAGAGGCGACAGACAAACTTCCATGATTGCTATCTAACATACGCATGATACCAGCCGCCATGACTCACTTGGACACCCACCCGCCATCATCATCATTTGTTTATTATTGGCCCTGACCAAGCACCACAACAACAACCTAGTACTTCCTCAACCACTGTCTCCCCGCTCTTTCCTTCCCTTCCTTCGTCGTTGCTAGATATTGACTAACCATAGAGAACAACCGCCAAGAACTACGGAACAACAACGCCTTGCATCTCTATACGGCACAGCGACCTTGCATCGATCACCAGGACCCGTTGATGAACGCTACTTACGGGATCGATCACGCCTCCTCTTCTGAAAGAGCTACAATGACCTACGGGAAGGAGGACGGGGGAGACTGACTCAAGCTGGCAAACACGCCACACAACCCCCCCACGACGATCGCCTTCACGCAATAGCAAACAAGCCAAAGAACTACCGTACCTGACCAATCAACCGCACGACGCCCTACCAACAAAAACACACACGATCGCCAACGAACGAATGCCGACCAGCCAAAACCAACCGGACTCACCTCCTGCAGCTTGTCTGAGAAGGTGCGGTGGAGCCCGATGCGGGCCGTGCCGTAGATGGCTTGCCGCATGATCGCCGCCGAGAGACCAGCGTAAATCGACGAGATGCCCTCGGACTTGACCATGTGCGTCAGCAGGGCCGGGAAGCTAGGCTTCTTCGTGTCCGGCGCCATGGACCCCAGCAGCTGGATACGTACCTGTGAGGGGAGGGGGGGAGGGGGGGGTCCAACAGAAAGGAAATAGGTTGGGGAGGAAGGACGAGGGACACGACCAATCGTAATGGCAAAGCGACAGATATTTGTTCTTTTAGGCGACGGCCAAGCAAAGCTCGCGGCGGCGTCGATGCGCACGCGCTTTGGAGTCTTGTAACGGCGATCCCGCTTTTCGGTGACCGCGCGTAACAATTGAGAGACCAACGCACACAACCATCATCGTCTTTCCAGTGACACGTACGTAAACGCTCCCAAATCTTCGAAAAATGAATCGTTCTTCGATTGCCACTTCGTGTACGGTCACAAAACAAAGTACTTTTATGGTGTCGGAACATATCATCGACATCAGATTTTTCCATCAGTTACGAGGACACAACTGCACCGGTCGTCGATAGAGAAAAAGCTGAGACAACTTGACTATTTAGAGCTCTCTTGAAAAGCTGGGGCACGTTGCAGCTGGGGGGCACTGTATCCCCCCCCCCCCTCAACACTTGAAAAGCGAGACAACCAAAGCGGCCTGGCCTGCTTCGCATCAAGGAAGCCTTCGTGGAAATGTCCAATACATACAACGTCGTGCTCCGCAGGTTACCTAGGGTCCGCGCATGTAGCCACAGCGTTTCCATACAAGCCATGCGCACAGTTACAAAAAACAACCCAATGAAGCAATCGGGTGGTGATATTTTGGTTCTTCCAATGGATAGTATGTTAGCACCCCGCGCTCGTACAGTACAACGGTAACGGCAAGGGTGGGTTCGAGTTTACGCCCCCCCCCTGAAGGGCGGCGGGGGGACGGCGGGGCCCGAATCGCAAGGAAAAACAGGGCGGGAGTGTCATGTAGAGAGAGCGCAACACAAAAAGAGTGAGAGAGGAGAGGCGGGGCGAGACGAAGAGCGCAACATGCGACGGGCAGGCGGTACTTGAAAATAACGAAGGTGAACCTTGGCGTACCCATCTCCAGTGTGCCGTCGTACGTGACTTGGTGTCATAAAAAGGTACCTCTAGAAAACGAAGGACGCAAGGTTTGACGTTGGCCCCGTGAATCATGTGACAGAAGCAGTTCCACAAGGTGGGTGAAAAACTCGATCACTCCTGTGAGTCAAGTATTCATCGCCATTTCATCCAATTCATCCGGGACTGCTGTCATCTATCGATAGACGTGCTTTCGCGACGTTTCTGAAAATTTGTACCACGTTTAACAGAGGCATACAAGAGAAGAGCGATTGGATACCATATTCCAGACGAGTTCCGCGACCCGATCTCCAGCGGGAAATCTACTCCCCCGTGGTACACAAGAGCCCCAACCACAAACAAGAGGTCATTTCACCAGTTACGCTAATACTGCTGTACCACGTCAAACGCTGAAGACGACAGGCGTGGGGTTACATGTCGCGCAATGACAGTTCTCTGAAAGTCAAACATGTGCCGCTTCGACGACGTGCAAGTACACGACCAACGGCAGCAGGTAGGCTTACTTTCAGACATGAATAGCGCAAGTCGGTGGGTGTACCACCAAAGGGCACGCCACTGCCGCGCTGGCGCTCGTGCAAGGTCACATATTCCCTGCTTCTTTATCTGGCACGACGATCCCGCGCCCAAGAGCATCGACGACGATCTACAACCTTCTCTTGGATATGGTATCTATCTCGCCATCATCTTCGCTAAAGCCGGGGCCAAAAACGCTGCCCACTTGCGCCCACCGGCGAATAGACCCGACACGTGTTTCGCGTCACTCGAGAGGGTGCGCAGTGCGCAACCCTGACAGGGTCGTCTACTCCGCAAGGGTTCGGTCCGCGGCTCATGCGATCATGATTACCGTGGGCGAGAGACGGCAGAGAAGAAGGCCAAGGTCATCGTCAATGCTGCTACTGCTGCGTGGCACATACAAGATGAGCTAGAGCGTCTGCTGCCGTAATAAAACTGATATTTCGTAGAATAGTTCTCTTGGTGCTTGAGTAGTGCAGCGAAAGTTCCAAGAGACTGGTCTCTTCCAACCGAGCGTGTTCGATACTGCTGCTCGCAGTCCACCCACGCCCCAAAAAGCTTTTGCAGCACAAGTTGCAGGGCATATGTCATGAATGCACAGATGACAGATGAACAACTAGAGAGAGCCAGCGGTCACTTCCGGACTGTAAAACGGGATCAGCAGGCCGAGCAAGCAAATGTGTATACAAGTAGTAGCATGGGCGGAGAAAAGGCTAACGAATCAGACACTGCATACATGCGACTACAACAAGGGCTGGCCCGTTTTACAACCAATACATGACATCCCATTGTCGTCCGTCATGTCATGTCTCACCTTGGCCAGGTCGATGGGGTGGATACAGCACGACGCGAAGCATGCTGCCGCCCCCCCGCACACGAACGGCTGAATTGTCGCTGCCACCGGCATGTTGCTAGATTTGTTGTCTTACAAACGCGGGGTGCCTGTTGTCTCCGATGCATGCATCCCCCGTCAGATAAGAAGAAAAGGCCGCAATAACAAACAAGCACACGCACGCGAACGCCGCAGGCACACAGACACACAGGCAGTGGTTGTGTTTGAAGGTGGCAAGGCTTGTTGTTATCGCATGTATAGAAGTACGTCTCTCTAAGGTTGCAGGTACAAGAATTTTCACGTGCGTGCGAGTACAGCAGTCTCTCACAGGGGATTCGGAAATGACGTGTGCTCCGGGAGCACAGCACCCGTTTTTTTGGAAAGAGCATGCATGGACAAAATAGAAGCCGCATCACCATTTGCTACATGGCAGGAAGATCAAGATACTGAAGCACCAGAGGGGTGGCTTCGACGGCAGTGTAGCGCATACAGCAGTTGGCGCAACATCTTACGGCATCATCTTCTTTGCCTGCCTCTCAAAACCGACCGCGAGACTCAACACAGGCGGCATCGGCGGCGGCGGCGGCATAAAAAAATCGCGAATGTCACATGACACGACGTGACAGCGAGGCGGCGATGAACAAAGCAGGAAGCACTGATACACCCAGAGCAGCCGGAGACTTACGAAAAATATTTGGCACTGCACGCGAACGGGCATAACGACACGGAAGAGGCTCGCTAGCGAACGAAGCGTGCACACGCTCGACTCGCGCTCGTCGCACAACGTACGTATGCATGTTGAAAGGGAGGATGATGTCACCACAGAGGCCTAACCCTTGCGCATGGAAAAAAATATATACACGCGTGTGGGGGCTGTGAAAAAAAACACGCGTGCGTTGCTACCGATTTAGAGGGAGAGAGAGAGCAACGTTGTTCGAAAAGATCAAGAGAGGCGCGTCGAGCGGCGAGCAAGCCTTCGTCTCGCAAGGGTTGACCTGAACATGCTATGCCCTCCGCCGTCGGTGTGTCTCGTGATCGAAGGTACCAAAAACCAACGCACAACGGAGATAGCCAGCAGAGGGGAGAAGGAAGGGGTCCCACACATACGTTTGCACTCCCTCCCCCGCCAACACCAACGCTGCTGCTACTGCTGGCTGGTCTTCGAGAAGCGCCATCGCACCGTCACGGACAGCACAGGGAGGTCGCACCGTCGTCGATAGAGACAAGTCGGGTGCGCAGGACACGCCTCCCTGCAGAGTACGAGCCTCTCTCGTGTTTTCCTTCACCATATATAGCAGTATCGAAGCAGCACGACCGCAGCAGCAGCAGCAGAGATTTGCGTGCTGCTGCAAAAATATGTTTGACAGGTTTAGCGGTGAGAGAGAGAGTGCCGTGTCAACAAGAACAGGCACTGCCACTCACCAGGTACAGGACGCACGCGTATCACTGCAGGTTTACGCGGCAGGGAGCTTCACGGGGACTTGGACGGTGGGGTGTCAGAGGATGGAATACTCGCTTCGTATTGTTGCCGAGCCTTCTGGAGCAATGCAAAGCAATGTGTGCGGATCGGCGGAGCATCCCCGCTTCCCTCCCTGGCTCAGGGTTTCGATACAAATGCCTCCCCACGACGTTGGTAGTTGGTACGGAGCTGCCTCTCTGTTCCGTGCACCTGAAAACAGACTGCTGTACCGGCCTGTTTTCCTGCTTCCTTGGTGAGGTCGGCGAGAACCATGTCCAAGCCCACACCAACGAGCAACGCGTTCCGGATCCACTTCATCTGCGATCGCCCTGGCACCCCAGCCACAGAGGTTGCTCATGATCGTGGTGACGGCGGCGGAGGAGCGAAGGCGGCGTGGGCAGAAATTGCGCGAAAGCTGCGTTGTTTTGGCGCGACCGCGATCCAGCGTGGTGAGATTGATTCTCTCTGCATCATGCTTTGTGGCAGCTTCGGTTGCAAGCAGTCGATTTGTGGCACGGTTGCTTTGAAGGTTTCTCGCCTTGAACTACTGCTTTACTGCTGTCGTCTCCAAGGTGACACGTCTGACCGTAGTCTTGACGAAAGTCCGCAAACGGGGGGCAAGGAAAACACCCAACGGGATTTTCGGTTATCGTCGGTTGCTGTGTGCAGACCACGTAGCTGCAGCATGCAGGTTGGTAACCTGCTCTTGCCAAGTGTGCGATCTTGAGCGCCAGCGGTACGCCTAGATGCTATGTAGCAGCTCGCATCGCCCGGAGAAGGAGATAGACAGAGAGAGAGAGAGAGAGAAATAGAAGCTTGGTCTTGCCACCAGACAAAAGTCATGCGTCCTGGCGTTTTTCTGCACCTACAAAATCCGACAGTCCCGTCCTCTCAGACAACGACATGCACGATGACAGGAACACTACTGTATCCCTGAACTCTATGTAGGTCTTCCCTCGAACCTGAAGGGTGTTGTCTACGGTATCTGTGCATCCACATAGCCCTCGACGCTGACCGCCCTTTCGCGGCTGACGAAACGGAACTAGCATCAGAGATCATATTAATTTTCTGATGCACTCTCACATTCGCACAGGAATGGTTTCGAAATCCATCAATCCGTTGCACACGCGATCACAGCAATCTAACGACCGTGACCCTTGTTTTGCTTTTGTCTCCGCCCCGTGCACTCACGGTTGACATCTTGCGGACCAAAACATGCACGGCAATTACTACAGGTGTTGACCTGAAGGACTGCACCGTGCCAAGCCCGAACCACGACATCGTCGTGCTCACGCGACCCAACTCTACGGCCGCCGGAGGCCGCTCCCCAACGAAACTGGTAGCTTTCCGGGAGCCGGGAGGGGCAACATTCCACCTCGAGCTATCGCTCAACTCCTCTCTCGCGGGCGTCAAGGCGTCGTTGATGTCCGCTTCCCGGGCGTCCAGACGAAAAGCGCAAGAAACGCGGGGCCGTCCACACCAACAGGTCCGACAAATGCTGCAGCATGTGCCGAAACAGGCGGCCGCATCAGCAGACGTTCACGACCTTCAAAACGATTGCACTCTGATCGTGGGCGGAAACAAGATGTCGAGCTCGTACCTCCTCGGTGACTACCTGATCAAGGATTCCGTGACCAGAGCCAGACGGCGGAAACCGGCGAAAGCAGCAGTCCTGGTGCTCTGGCACCCGCCTCGGCAAGAACAAGACGACAGAAGAGCAGCTGCTGCTGCAAGGGAACACTACCCGCGGCGAACGGCTGCCGGCGCCACCCCCCGAGCAACGAGTACAAATACGCCTCTCCAACGACACCTCGACGCACTACGCCAGGCTTGCGCTGTACGCCGTCGGGGCGGCGAGCCACAGGACAGAGGGACAACGCGCGAGAGCAGTAGGCGGGAGTCCGGCAGGCCGGGCGAGGCGAGGCGCTCGGTGCAACGGAGATGCAAGAGCGTCGCGAGGTTTTCGGGGATGCGGAGGGGGGCACGGTGCGGGATGGGGATTCGGCCGCCGTCTTGACCCGCGACCTCTTTCGGGGTCCGCCCAGGGTCGCAAGAGGGGGGGGGGGGGGGGGC